CCTGAACCTCCACATCATACACATTCAACATCAAATTCTTCGAAACGACCACGTACAAGTACAACTAGTGCAAAACAAACTACTACAGCACCTAAAAAACTTTTTTCATATACACGTTATGATTGGAATTTTCTTTCAACATTATCACCAACAGTTCTTAATTGGTTCTGTGTTATTAATCGTATACAAAAGCCAATAGAAAACTTTCTTCATAAACGTGAAAAACGTCCTGATACTATTCTAAGTTATTTTCTTATTGAAACAAAACCTGTCTCAACTTTACCACAAAGTAAACTCTATGAGTTATCAACTAAAAAAACAAAATATCTTCTTTCACATCCTGTTTGTCAACTTGTTTTTGTAAACAATTTAATTGTAATACTCAAATTAATATAAATCTTCAACCAAATATTATACCAGATTTACAATTACTTAAACAAGGTATACGTGTATCATGTCGTGAATGGGCTCAAACAATTAAACAACAACCACATAAAATTATTGTTCAACCACCTTCATCATCAACAACAACATCACCTATTAATAGTATATTACCAACAACTAGTAATGATCAAGAACAGCCACCAGCTGTTGTACGAGCACCAACAATGGTTGACCGTGTTCAACGTTTAATTGGACATGAATTTGTTACAGCACATCCACGTCGTCCAACACATATACCAACTAAACAACATGATGGATATGATAGTTCAATAACAAATGGTTCAGCTATTCGAAGACGTACAACAGTACAAAATACACGATCAAATATAAACAATAAAGACACAACGATCGAAATGAATAATGATAACAATGATTTATCTGGAGGTGATGGTCGACGTGCATCAAGTTTTCTAGGTAAATTTTATTTTAAATTCAAATTATTAATTTAGTTTTTTTTTTTCGTTAATCAATATATCAAAATATTATTTTCTTTTTTCATGAGTAGTTATGCGAGAAAAAATATCCAACGGTAGGATTAATATTTAGAAAATGTTTATTTCTTGCTTTTGTTTTGTACTTAGTGAATGATAGATGAAAACACACAATACGATATATAAAAGCACTTTTTTTGTAGTAATTTATAGAATGAGACTTGCAAATAGATAGTAGTTGATTAGGGGGAGGTGGGACAAATGCAGACTTCTGTAGTGCAAAATGTCCCATGTCCCTATTCCCCACTAGATAAAATACTGATTTCTGTTCAAGTTTAATAACTGTAAGACTAAGCAAACTGATTAATACTCGCTTAAGTCCACTTTAATCTATATTTCTTACTACACCCAACTTCGTATTCTTCTTTTCCCTAATTCTAACTGTTGTTTTGCACCTTTTCGTCTTATCTCACTATTCGTACAAGCACGAATTCGTAAATGTGTATTATAGCACCAACCACAGATCATATAAGTATAATAGTTCAAGAAGGTAAGATATATATATATAAATAAATAAAAGGATATTATAAATGAAATAAAATACTAAATGTGCTTATTCACATATTCATTCACATGATCGAATAATATATATATTTTTACATATATGGTGTATATGGAGTTATTTAATAAACAAAAAGTAATAGATGCATGTGCATGATTATGAAGCTTCTTTTTCTTTCTTAACAAAATATAAAAATCAAATAAACTAATATATTAGAATTGAATTTCTCATTTGTTTGTTTTTTTCTAATATATTACAGCTGATGCTATACGACGTTTTGAACCAGCAGTTAATGTAAACAATACAAATGGTTACAAACGTTTAAGTGTTGGTCATGATGAATCAGATTTTGAAGGTAATACAAGTGGTATACGATTAAATGATAGTAATCATGATAATGAAACAACTTATTATACGGATATTACACGTGAATATGCTGGTTCAGTTGAACAATTATTTAAAATTTTACTTGAATATGCTGGTGTTGAAATATCTGTTTCATCATCAATTGAACCATTATTTGAAAAATTAGGTCAAACAGTTCTTGCATCAGCACAAATTAAAAGATTTGATGTAAAAATTTTACCAAATGAACCAACAAATGAATCTCAATCATTAATCAATCATCCTCCACAATCACCACCATCCGTAGTTCAATTTCGTTTACCACATATTCGTCAATCAATACTAAATACATCAAATGAATTAGCAATACTTTCCGTAACTAATTTAAGTATTCAAAGTGTTTGTCGACAATCACTTGAATATGATCAATTACATTCTGCTAATGTACAAGCTG